TGCCTGCCTGCCGTCCGCTGCACCCTGCGCATCTGCCGCGCACCGTTCAATCTTCGAGCGTCGGGACCGCTCGGTCCACGCCATGGCGAATTTGAATGGAGATCAAGCAAAGCGGGACGAATGTTGCTGGGTTCACTCTAGACGCGCTCTTCGGCGGACTCCGTTTGACAGCAATCGGTTGCAAGAAGTTTCAAGAGGCGCTCCTGTCCTCAAATGCGCGTCTCGATCCACAAATACAGGAAAGAGTCTGAGTGTCGGTATCGTGATCGAGACGCCCTACTCTAAGCGCCGTGGCAGGAAAGCTTTGCGCGCGGTGGATCGGGTGGGCGCGGAGAGAGCCGAACCGGTGGGGATCCTCCGTGATCCGGCGCGGTGCTTGGGTTCCGATTCGTCCGCCTTGTTCACGTGATCATATCACGTGTCGAGAGCAAAGCTCATGCACGTGTTGAACGGAAGCCTCTTGGCGGTTGGCGGCCCATTCTGATTGAGCTGAGCAGGAGTTGCGAGGCTTGGCTGCTGCACGCGGTCCGGGCTGAGCCACACCGCCTCATCTGGATAGATCGAGCGCGATGCGGGAGCATGTGCACTCATCAGACTCAAGACTTGATGTATGCTGGTCTGCCAACGTGGATGATGCCAAGGTCGCCTTCCACCTCACCTTCACTCTTCGTCATTGTGATTGTAACGTCAGCACACCACTGCACTTATCCACCGCTTACACATCATGTCCGAACCCGAATCGAGACTCGACCTCCATGCGCTGCAGGACGCTCTGGATGACCAGAACAAGACCCAGCCTCCCGAGGAGGCGGCTGCATCCTCGGCAACCGCAACAAAGTTGAGCAAGCCTGAGCATGGGAAGGCCTCCCCAGAAACGCTTTCTCCTTCTTCGCCTGGCTCCAAGAGCCCAGCGCCGCCAACCTCTTCAGCGCCCACTGCAGCTCCGACCGCTTCGCAGCCACGGCAGCAACACAATGCAGCACCTATGAATCCACAAGTGGAGCAGATCCGCTCCATGTTTCCAGACTTTGATCAAGACACTGTCGCTGCGGTACTCGAAGCTCAGGGATCAGACGTCGAAAGAGGTGCGTGCTTTCAAGCCGTTGCTGCGAGCCACGCACCCTTGCTGACATAGCTTCATCCCCACAGCTGTGAATGCTCTGCTGTCAATGTCGGACCCGACGTACAAAGCACCACCGCCAGCATCCAACGAAGAAGCAGACGCAGCTTTCGCGCGCTCACTGGCCCAACAACAAAGAGCAGAATATGTTTCTGCACAGCAACAGCAACAGAGGCCATTCCATGAGGGCACTGGAGCTGTTTACGATCCCTCTCAGCTCAACTATCAGCCTCGTCTTCGACGCAACCCTCCCTCTCACACTGGAGCTGTCGCATATCATGCACCGCCTCCGTCAGGCTTCGAGAACATCAACAGGCAGCAGGCGCCGGTAGGTTGGCCAGGTCCAGAAGATGCTAAGCGCTGGGGTGATCAGATCAATTCGGCAGCAGAGAGTGAGTCCCGCACTTGAAAGACTGGTGACATGGCATTGACCCTTGTATCCGCCTTTCGTAGAGGGCTTCGCGCAGGCCTCGACGGCTTTCTCGGCCATACGCCAACGGCTGGCACAAGGAACAAGCCCGGGAGGTACGCCTACAGGAGGAAGTGCCACTCCTAGCGGTAGGGGTGGTGGAGGTGCCGCTTCCTTCTTCAACTCTATAGCAGGTGGCAACAGCGCAAGTGCGACGAACGGAGGACGCAACGCGCGGAGTAACGTGAAAAGCCCGGATCAGAACTATGACAGAGATCCAGCTCAGGTGGGAGACGCGGATCTAGCAGCGCTTTTGGCTTCCAACGGAGCGCCCCAACCTCCAACCAAGGCGGATCGTATGCTTGGCAACTCGGCCAAGAATGGATCGTTTGATCAAAGGTACGGCGCAAGTGCCAGTGGGAAGTTGCCCAATCGACACTCCGTCGGCAGGCAAGTCAGACCCGAGGACGAGCTGGAGGATGACGAAGAGCTGGGATGGGAATCTGCAGGAAGGGCCCCTGCGCCCATATCCATCAGAGACAACTCTCTCGGCGCATCGGGCACGCCCTCGACGCCTGTGCGAGATGCAAAGAGCAGCACGGGCTCCAACCGGGACGCGGTGGACAGGATGGAGTCCAGCACGGGCAGAGGACTTACCAGTCCTAAGCCGAAATCTCCAGCTGCTAGCGCAGCAGCATTGGGGGCGGGAGCTGGAGTGGGCGCCGCCGCTGGCTTGGGAGCAGCGGCGACTGCCGCCCACGATGATGAGCCTGCCAAGTCCAAAGCGCGCAGCGACGATGGCTCGAGCGATGGGGAAGACTTGGAATACGTCTCCAACCCTTTTGACGATGAAGACTGAGCTACGTCGCGAAGCCGTCATTACTCGCACCACTCGCTGTACATTTGAGTCGCTCTTCGGCACTCGGAAATGCTCACGATCTGCCCCCATGCGCAGCTCGTGTGATTGTATTTGGGCAAAGCAATGAAAGCGTCTGTGGCGCGTGTAGCCGGAGCAGCTTTGAAAGCAAAGCGAATTGCAACTGAAAGATTGTGTGAGTGTTTGTGCTGCTGCTGCACTCTAGTCGTACACCTGCATTCAGACGATAAGTGCGTGGCGGGTCAGCGGTGTTTGCTCACACGGCCACGCGAGAGCCACTTACATTGAGCGGATTGATACGGTCCATAGCAAACAAGAAATTGTCGGACAAATCTGCGATTCGAGCCGTGCAAAAGGTTCAATGGCGTCCTTTGGCGCACCTCGAACACCAAGCCGCAGCTCACCTTCGGCCTCCAAGAATCTTGTAGAGTGCATGACGAGCGTGCCTCGCGTCTCGTGAAGCAGCGCCTCCATCTGTTCCAGCTCCTTGGTCGAAAAGCCATCGTCTGGGAGTTTGGGACCACCACGAGGGTACGTGGCTGGCGCTTGTTGCAGAGACGGCCCGGCGTTGCCTTCCATGCCGCTCTCCTTGCTCTTCGGCAGCGGCAGCGTGTTGGAAGGCCCATGTGGGCTAGCCTCCATCTTGCCGTTCTGAGCGAACGGCGTTGCGCCCTCATCGATCGGCGCAGCGCCGCTCGGTGGAGCTGGCTTGACACCCGACGATCGCATCAATCGATCGTACCATGCTTGGTAAGCCTTGTACTCCGCCCATGTCGTCACTTGATCATCAGGAGTAGCCTGTGGTCCGAGACCGTCAGCACCTGCAGCGTCGCGGGGTACCATATTCCACACACTTACTTTGAACACCTTGCGGAAGACGTCGGTGTTATGCTGAGCTGCCGCTAGCCACGAGCCATGGAAAAACTCGTCAGAGATGGGATCCTCAAAGCCATATGGGTCAATGACCGGGGCGTCGGACGGCACGGCCCATGGATTTGACACCTACGAAAGATGGCGACATCAAATTAGCGCGCTCTGACGACACGACACGTCCTCAAACTCACATTCTTGGAGCTCTTGTTGCGCAGATTGTCCTGGGAAAATGTTGAGAGAGCGCTGGTGCTGCTATTCCGAGCGTGACCGTTTGGCGCACCGCGCACCCTCTCGGAAGCGAGCTGCTCCTCTACGCGCTCTACAGCTCCTTGATCGGCCGCCTCATCCTTTTCAGGCTTGCGATCAGATGAACCAGCTTTCCCACCATCGCTTCGCACCTCTGTCTTGATGTTGGTGCTCATACCCGACACGAGTTCCCCAGCCGTGCGTCCCAGGTTCTTGAACGTGTTCCTGGGCTTGACTTGCGTCTGACCGATGCCAGGCCTACCGTCTCGTCGTTGCTCATTGGAAGGGTCCCATTCGTCTTCGTCGTGGTCGGCCATCTGAGCAGGCATGCGGTTGCCCGTATCATTCGCGCTCAAGCCCTCAGAAGCTTCTTGCTGCTCAATCTTGTCGACATCAATGCCGAGGTGCTCGCGCATCAAGCGCATGCGCAGAGTATGTGCGAACCTGCCAACTTTGTACGCTTGACCGCCCATTGTCGAGTCGATCATGTCCGTATCGCGAATGACCACTGCGAGCTCGCTATCCCTATCACCGCGCTGAGAACGCTCATTGATGTTGGCTGACCCGATCAGCGCAAGACGATCGTCGACGATCATCGTCTTGGCGTGAATGTAGCCAATCTCTGTGCAAAGCTTGCCGCCTCTCAGCTTGCCCCACTGCCGCAGGCTGAAAAAGGTAATGTAATCGTCCGGATTGATGCCCTGTCTCTTCAGCTTGCCGAAGATGGAGTGCTCGCCTCGGCATATAGACCTGTTCTGACACTCGACGATCAGACGCACAGAACCAGCGTCTGGATGATCGATGGGCATTGGGAAGCCTGGAATGAGCGGAATGACGATGATTGCGCGCCACGGAGTGCCTTCTCGATGTGCCCGGACGATGCGCGAAACGAGCGCTTCGCCAATCTTGTTTGTGATTTCAGTGCCGCGCACGACGGTTGAGGTGACAAAGAATTGATTCTCAATGTAGACAAAATGGTCGCTCATCTGAATCGCCTTGAGGTAGGCATTTTGTATCGAGTGCTCCACCGTCGTTGGCGTTCCCATGCTCCAAGGGCCTGCGGAGCGACAGATTTGCGCCTCGCACGTACCCGTCAGCTGATACTTGGACAGGTCGGACGGAACAAAGTCTGGTGGAGGAATGAGAAAAGGCATGACCCGCTTGTGGTTCTTGATTCGCAGCAAAAAGTTCCAGCGCTGGGCGAAATGCCTGCACAGATCTCGCGCGGGCTGGCCGACGAGCTGCACACCAACGTCGTGCCACGGCATGCGCGGGAATTGGGTGCGGTCGATGAGGTCGTTGGCCGGCTTGGTCAAATCGTGCCACTCCATGACGCGCTCGTTAGCATAGTCCTGACCTGGCCAAATCTGCGCCTCTGCGCCGTTTCGTCCAGGTCCCAAGAGACTGGGGTCTTCGTCCAGATGCACGTGTCCGACGTTGCCGTCCGCCGCGTCGTACTGAGCGTCGTCGCTGAGGATATGCTCTGCAGTGTCCCACCTCCCAAAGCAGAGGTCCAGCCCACCCATAAATGCAATCGTCTCGTCGATGACGCAAAGCTTCTCGTGGTGCGCCCAATAGAATGTTCCCGTCTGAAAGTGGCTGGGAGATCTCTGTACAAAGATATTAGGGTGCAAGCCAATCAAGCGCTGCTTCGTGTAATTGCTGTCTGTCGGCGTGAAGTTGTTGCTGACTTCGTTGTAGAGAATGACAAAGATCTTGACGCCCTCGCTTGCCTTTTTCTTTAGAATATTGTCCAAGCGATACTTTGGCGTTCCCGGTCGTCGCAGGTACATTTCCGGTGATAGCCACCAGTCGTGGATGAAGATGCGATCCTTGGCCATCAGCAGCGCCTTGGAAAGATTCCAATAGTAGTCGCGCCCGTCCACAAGCCATTGAGCGCTGCAATTCAGCCGAATCGGCGCAAAGCTGCCAAAGCGATTCGACCCCGAAAAGATGTTTCGCGCAGCCACTCTCTCGAGACTAGCGATGAACTGCGTCATCAGGCGTTCGCTCTTGGCCACCAGCTTCATTCTCTGCTGAGCGTTCTTGATGTAAAAGGTGTGACTGCTGACGCTCTTCGAGCCGCCAGGCTTGGTGCTGTAGTCATCATCTTCCTCTGCTCCATTCGGACGTCCATACTGACCATCCGTGAGAAGCGCCGTGTGGCTTGCACGCGCCTTTTCGGACTGCCCCTTTTCCGTCTTTTCATCGTCGCTATGGTGGCCCAATTCCGAGGCCAGGTGAATCGTCTGCTTGTACAAGCGCTTCGGGCGCTCGATCTCAAAATCTCCGTCGATGAGAAACACATCGTGGACTTGCAAAGAGGCCGGCTCGTCTACAGCGACGATGTACGATTCGCGCACAATGAACCACTTGGGCGAGTACGACTTTGCCAAGCTCGCTGGCGTCAAAAGGCCCTTTTGCGCATCCTTGCGAGAGGATCTCGACATGATTCGAAGGTAGCCTTGCTTGCCTTGGTAGCCGCCTCTGCTGGCGAGCGAAATGGATAGCGCGCTTAGCTCAAAGAACTTGCACAAGCGATTTGCTTCCGGACGGAACATGGTGCGCCGAATCAGTTCCAGAACATAGTCTTCCAGCGCGTCGCGCTGTGCCTTTGCAAAGTCTGCTCGCGGGTTGATGCCATCCTTGCTCTTCGGCTGGCGCTGCAGCTGGTTGAGGTACGGCAGACTCGTCTTGGGGAAACTGGGAAGACCCAGGTCACCTTCTGCTTGGCCAACTGGTCGTCCGAGATAGCCACGCAGAGCTGCCGCTCTGTAGTGCGCGTGCAGGTTGATAAAGTCGCGAAGCTCGCGGTAGCATACCCAGCGCACCAGTCCGTCGCCGTACTCGAGCTCAATGCGGAACACCGCGTGGGTGTTGTGAAGCGGGTTGACCGAGTCGGTGATCCGCAACTTTAGATGATTGAGAAGGACCGGAATACGTCGATTCTTTTGCTCATCGCGCTCGAGGGACATTTTGAGCAAAAAGACGGGCAAGATGCCGCTCTGCAGCTCGGTCACCACATTCATGGGGCCAGCAGCCGCCACCTTATCCGGACGACCCCGTTTCTTCAGCGCTTGCGATTGTTGCAGACGTTGTCTTAGGGCACCCCATCGAGCAGCACCAGCTCCAGGAGTCTGCGGCGGCTGGTCCGTGCTGTTTTCGTTCTCAGTCGCCGCATCCGGAGTGCCGCTGCCACCACTGTCGCCTCCCAGCATCAATTTGCTGAGCCTAACCATCTTGGCGTGAGAGGGCGACTGCGGTGCAGACCCCTCTGCATCAGCGTCTGCTGATCCATCTCTCTGCGTGGCTTGTCGCGAAGGCCCAATCTTGGGAGTGCTGGACCCGCTCTTACGCGCAGAAGCTCGTCCTGCAAACGCCTTGAGCTTATCCGCCGCTTGACCTGGTGTGTTCGAATCGGTCGAGGTGCTTTTCTGCGCCCCACTTGCTTGGCCCGCACTCGCATCAGCCGGTGCGTCTTGTTCTTCAGGTTCCGCAGTCAAAGGACCACCCATCGCGCTGCGCATCGACCGGTGATTCTTGCTCCATTGGCTCGTCTGTTTCGGCAGACTTGGTCTCGTTGCGCCTGCGCTCGAAGCAGATCCTTGACGCTTGGAAGCTGGCTGACCACCCTGCGTCTGAGTTGCACCGGAGGGCGTCGAAGGACTGCTTCCAGGCCTTTGCTTCGCTTTGTGGGAGCCACCAAACTTCAGGTTGAGCTTGCTGAGCTGCGAAGGACTAGAAGCGTGATCATCTTGCTGAGCAGCGGCATCCTTGTCCGCCTCCTTCATCTTGTGCTCCTCTGCCTTTTCGCGCGTCGTTCTACCCAAGCCTAGTCTGAAGTGGTGATGCTTCTCAGACTGAGACTTTTGCTCCTGTAATCTGCGAATCTTTTCTCTCTGCGCATCGTCCGGCTTGCTAGCCCAGATTGGTCCCTTTTCCGAGTGTTGCTGCGCATCTGGAGCTTGATGCGGATGAGCTGCGTGTGCATGACGAGCCGTCTGACCTGGATCAGCATCGCCCAGGGCTGTTCCCTGACCGGCTCGTGCTGCGACTGGGCCATGAGGACCCAAAGCTCGCTCGATGGGATCTTTGCCGTTCGAGACGTGACTATCCGCTGTGCCCTTACGGTGCGGCTCCGAAGCGTGAGGTGCAGCTTGCTGAGATTTCTCGCCCTGCTCCTCTTCATCTTCCGCTTGACTTTGCAGACTGCTCCTCGCCTCGGGTGCAGGATGATCGTGTGCCGGGTGCGATTCGCTGCCCGGATGATTGCCTGGTCCCTTAGGAGGCTTTGCATCCCCTACATTCTGCTCCTCTCCACCCTCGACCGTTGATGCTGGGGCGTTTGAGTCGGATCCGAGGCCGAGCAAGTTGGCAGCCTGGTCGTACGCTTGATGGAGCGCATCCGTAGCAGACGTACCAGCAGATGTCATGATGTGAGCTGGCAGACAGTGTTACTGTGATGGATGTGATGTGCTTTATCGTTAGCGCTTCGAGCCTAAGCCTGTGCAGTGGGGTCCACAGTCCGCCCGCGATGATAGAGCGGGTTCGTCGCTGCCTTGCACCGCCTCAGGTTGCGTCCATGCAGCGATCGAGCGACTGCGTTTTCGGGGAGTAACCTTGAGTTGGTGAGTAACAATGAGGTTGGTCGGGTATTTCATGAGTGGTCGAGGACAGTGATCCATAGATGGTTGCAAAGGACAGGAGAAGTATCGATCGCCCTCGAATTCGTCGACGTCTCGACAATCGCGGCCTGCTGATGACGCATTTACTAACGCCCGCTGCGTATATGCTATACGGCGAAGCTGCGCTGGACGAGGAACGTGTGGCTTGCGATTGCAAGCTTAGCGCCCGGGCGCTGTGCTGGTGACAGTAGCTAGCTGT